TTGTACAATCGTTATAAGTTAACTTGTCATCCGCTTACAATACGTTAAGACATCTGTAAGGAAAAACCCATTGAAATCTGTAGAGGCAACCATTTCATTCAGTTGTGCTATATCTTGGTGATCGGTTTGTTTCCGTTTAATTGAACGTTTCTTGCAGCGAGTGACTTCCTTGTTGTTCGTCTTACTGTAGATGATGGGAGGTAGCTTGACTATCGAGTGATCAACACTTCCAAGTTGTGCCTGTGTAGTGGCTGAAAAGATCTTCATTTTGTTAATAAACATTAAGGCCAGAGTTGCTTCTAACCTGGTGGGGCATTTCGCTATGTTCTGCGGTCCAAGTGTGGTGAGGAATATGGTGTCAAACATACTGAAACCACCAGTAAATATGCACAGGGATTGACTAATGTGTACAATGACAGAAGCCGTGAAGGCGTCATAAAATGTCTGCTTCTTAGCTTGAAAAACTGGAGGATATAAAAACGTTGGCTAGTAAGAGTGAGCTGTATCTACTCAGCCATGTTAGTTTGAATGCTAGAACCAGGCAGTCAATATGTTGCGCCGAATAGCAGAATATTTTATTCACTGATGAACATCAGGATGTGTTCATACAGGTGATAACACCAACACTTCAGTTGTGTAATCTGCAGGGGCGATCAGCACAGGGAAAACTAAAGCCGTCAACTGCTACAATAGCACCTTCAGCAAATTTGTGTAGTCAAGTTCCCTGTAGTCTACTTACTCCAAGCTGCGCGTATTCGCGACAGCAGAGGTTAATTCTGAGATCACCCATTTTTCTAACAAGTGAGCGTCCCATGGTGTTGAGAAAAATAGGCATGCGCATACTAGCATGTGTTTCTTCCTCAGAGCAACCTTTCATCCAGCATGACGCTTCATTGCAAATTTAGTAAGTTTTTGCTGTAGATTTTGCTCACTTTTCTTCGGATAGACTTAATGTGTCTGCCATGTGCGCGGAACGCATCAAGATTTCAAAATTTCCCCAGTTTATGTAATCATGACATTAATCGTAGGCAGAACAGTAGGTGAGGAAAACAGTAGGTTTCTAATTAGCGCCTTTTAAGGCGAGCGTGTTTGTTCTACCTTGAAAGAGGATAGAGCACGGCCAAATTTGATGGCCCCGAGTATCCGGCCCAAACTTAGGGCTATATGACTGCACTTTTTTTGCCAAAAACTGCTCAGGTATTTCCAACCTCCAGGTCAAGTCAAGAAAGTTGCTGACCTTTCTTGGTCACCGTAGATTCGTTGGTCTAGCGTTACCCTATTGTGTGAAGAGTTGATGTCCTGTTTTGATGACCGCGACTTCACCTGATTCTTTAAGTGTTATCACTAAAGGCAATCGCAGGTAATATAGGGTAGTGGATTATTCCTTCCGTCAATTAATTACTTGTGCCCCAAAACTTTAGGTAGGCAAGATTCTAAGTGGTCACTCGCAAATCCAAGGCATCTGCGTGCGTTTTTGGATTAACCTAACGCTTTCTTCCAAAACACACTGTGAGTAATATAAAGGATCATCCGAAAATGTTATTTGTATACCAAGGGGAAAACCAACTTTGTCGTTCTACTTTGTGGAGTGTGGGATGACTTGAAAGATAAATGACTTTAAAGTTGAGCCCTTCGCCTCAGACTGGAGCTAAGGACGATGCGAATGTATATAATAATAATAATAATAATAATAATAATAATAATCAACTTTTTGTCTGTAGACAAACACGCGAGCCAAATCGCATATCAAACATATGGTGGGTGTACATTTAATTGATTGGGCTGCTAAGTTATGTTATAACACCCCGTGGTCGTTTCGACTTCTAATCGGAAAGGACGAAACGTTCTTTATCGAAAGTATTCTACGCGCAGAGTAGTAAATTGGGGTTGGATCGATACGACCTACGGGATCTAGCTGCCAGAGTTCGTTCACGCAAGCTGACCCCAGGGACAAAACATATAGTTCTGAACTACTGCATCGAGACTGGACTAGACAGAGAGTTGGTTTATTGACAGCTCAAATATTGTAGTAAATAAACCACCACATAGTGGTTGTGTCTCAAAGATAATTAATTTGAATCACTGCGATTTAGTATGGTAGATCCAACTATGCCGTTGAGGAGTTCAGTCGATTCATCGCAGGTTTAAGTAAAACTTCCCAACAAAGTCCTGTGGAGCGCTCGGTTGTTAACTGCGTAATCTGAGTCATTGCTTCAAGACAGCGTGATTAAGCTGAGCCCGGACACCTTATACACAAGTTTCGTGGAGCTATGTGAGCTCCGCAACTAGGTACTGCATAATGTTGAACAGTATATGTGATCTGTAGTTATTCTTAACCAATGCTGATTTATATGACACGCTATTCATATATTAGCCGTATCATAATTTGGGTCCGAATTTACCGGAATGGTTTCATGAACAACTCAGCCAGAACACTGAAGCCAGAATACTAGCTTAAAAGTAAAATTCTGTACTTAAGGAAATGAAAAATTTATTCATTTCGAAAAAAACTGACTAAAACACGCTGAATATATATATCGGCTGAAAAGCTTGAACTTCTCTTCGAATTCTCAGTCGCACACAAAGTTCACATAAGCCACATATATAGTGATCTGGACATAAAGACTCAGCGGATATGACGTTTCGAGGACAACGGTACTCCATTTGATTGCCGCAGATGTTTCCATTCATACATCAAAAGGCGGTTTAGCTTAATTAGCGAAGTGCCACTAATTGCCCACGATTGGGAAACATGTCGTGTAACAGCTAGTTCACGTAAAGCACGTGATGACGAGTTGTCATTCCTTAAGGAATGGTTACCCAACAGGAATTCAGGAACATGTCTTGCTATAGTGGCAAGGTCCATTAGTGTGAATCGACAGAGAATGTGTTTGAAAAACCATGAGGAATCACGATTTACTGACCGACCCGTGTTTGTTGCACGGATGAAACGATGGAACATCTTTTAATATCGACCGAAAATAATGGATTGCTAAGTCAATTAGGGTAGCCTGGATCAGAGCCAAAAATATTAAAATCTGGCAACCAGATGAGAGCATGCTGCGAGGAATATGGCAGTGTTCACACGAAAACACGTAAATAAGGTAGCCCAGTTACAATGTAAGTAGAAATATGGTATCAAGACCCTTTGTGACCATGGGTTAGCTGGGATCGAGAACAACGCAATTGTAATCGGCGGCTCATGGGAGGCAAACGCAAACATAGGGCAGTTTTCGTTGACGCTGATGCCGACTGTGTTACCTGACCTACCTAAGCTAATGGCTTCTCAACTTCATGTTATGACTAAGTCGCAAAGATTGACGACGCACGTGGCTAGTGGGAGAGTACGAAGTCGATCAATACGCACTAATAGTGAGCGTTGTGGAATATTAAACTTTTCAAGTAAATTCGCTATGAAATGTAAAATAACATAAAGTCAGATAACAACATAATCAAACATCACCGGTCATTATTAGATTTTGAAGCATAAGCAAAGTATGGTCTATTAGTTGGCATGTTTGCGAGGCCGGAAAAGCGCCTACCGCATCAGAACGCAGTTAAATACTGAGAACTTGCTGGTAGATGGAAGGATCATTCCGTTTGCATGCCCGACGTACAAGACTGAAGTTCTTCCATCAGGTGGTTGTTGCGTGAACGGAATAACTCGAGAATATACGGTCAAATTGAGCTGGTACCGCATGCCGAAACCTTTAGAAGACCTAGTGCTAGGTATTGCATCAAGTGGCAGGTTTGATTTTTCGGCGACCTATGGTGGACCTTTTACAATAAGAAGTTGTATGATGAACAACTTTTAGGATAACGGCTTTTAAGGTCTCTTCAGGGTGCTTCCTGATGCCTTTTGTCATTTGTCGGTCTCCAAGTTTTAACACATTTGGGAAACTAAATCTTCGAGGTGAATGCATGCAAAAGATCATAACTACACAAAAATGGAAGGTACGACATCATTGCTGACGATTTGGAACTGCGTGCTCCAAATAGATGGGATCGAATAAGGCCCTTCTAACGGAAGTTTCGTTACTGTCACTGCAATAAATTTCCAGTCTACTTGAAAACTGTACCAGGGCTTATCTAGCTTTGGACCCTGAAAAGAATAAGTCGCACACCCAAATGGTCAAGGGCGTACTAACGTCTAACGTAAATGCTATTGGGCTTTAATTTACAGTTAGTCTTTTCGGTTCAGCTACCAACTGCTGTCAATACGCTGGTATTGCATTAATGGTGCTAACGAAACGCGCCCCGTTTGGGTGATATGGAGACACAAGGTTGGAGCTGGTGGAGTAAGTGCTCATTTTCGGAGCTTTCATTATATTTGACAACCCTTCACCTCTTCACCTCTGACGAATTTGAAACAACTTCCTCCAAACAAATTTACTCCCAACATGTATTGCCGAAACTCTGGAAACACGTCAAGGTCAGCAGCAATTGGGCCGTGGTTGCATCCTAGGTCACACAAAAATCAGCAATTAGAGTTTCTCCAACCACACCCAAGATTAATGTAGGAGGCCATGCAGCATTGTTGCGCAGCAAATCGCCCGGTCACACAACCAAGGCCCATCATCTTCTGTAAGACAACCAGGAACAACGAGATGCCCTATCCGCTTTTTGTGTCGAATTTCCGTAGTCAACATCGATGTCATTGAAAAGAAGACGGGTGGACGAACTGTGTCGATGGAACACTATCAGGAACCTGCTCGGCGACTAAGCCCAGCAACCTGATGACGAGCACCCGAAAACCGAATTCCGAGTACATCGGTGAAGTCAGGCTTCTTCGACTTGCACTAAACTTTATTGATGTGGTGGAAACCGTCTTGATTTTGACAGCTCGTATTCCGAGCAAAATTAAACGTTCTATGGTGCAAGCACAAGCGGGAACAGCAGAGTTTAGAGCAGTCCCGCCTTGTCACCGTTTAGCAGTTGCGGAACTAAAACTCAGAGGCTAGCTCTTAACCGGTATATTGCAAAGTAAAATACGTTAGGCAAACGGAAAGCAAAACTGTATTCTAATCAGCATGTTGTACAACGCGTCGATTTGCTATGATACATTAGGACAATCTATGTGTGGTTGTGCGGGTTACTGGCCTCCAGCTGGCCTCCTATGTTCGACCGATTACGATGATTATGTCCAGTTATACGGCGGCTCCAGGAATCGCTGCCAGCTTTTGAAAAATGGCTAGTACCGTTGTTACTCCAAAGTGCAAGCGGCCGTACTGCTACTAGGGTATTGATCGCCAATAACTCTTTCGAGTGCTTTGTAACATCTACCTGAAGATTTACATCAGACAGGTCAAGGTTGGCAAAGCACATATCGTCATTCCGTTTTGCGGAGATGCTTTTTGGAATTGGCAATATGTATTGGAGGTCCTTGAACGCAGCGTAAAGACGCGCACATATGCGTACCATTCCATTCGCCTCCTTTACTGTGAAAACGGGTGCGGTCCATAAGGCGTATTTGACAAGTGTGATCATTCCGATTTGTACTATGCGCTCGAGTTTTTGCTCAGTGATTTGTATTGCAGCATACGGCACCGGTTGTTTAGCTTTAATGACTGGCTTGGTTACTGATCGCAGGGACAGTGTTGCTATCAATCTGGTACAATGGCCTAGGCTATAAAGAAGCACAGGTTCAAATTTTTGTTACAGCATTTGGGTCATATATTTATCCTATTTCGTTGATACATATAATCATCGGCGGTAATAGCTCGGTCATTTTAATTGATGCTTCGCTGCAATATAACCATGACGACCTGCTGAAGAATGAATAATAAGAGCGAGAAAAGGGGGACTTACCTGAAAACCTTATTATCCTAAGCAAAAATTCAGGATCAAAGTGCGAGCACTTCGTCAACAACCTACCGTGTAAAGATAAGGCGGCACCGGCTGAGCAGTTTTCTTGCTGTTTTCACTGTCACGTGCCATAAACAGCCATTACCACGTAGAAAACTTAGCACCAAACTTAAGTTAAACAGGCAGCCCGACTTGGAGACGGCAGCAGACGCACTACTGGTTCGACCGCGAGCCGCATCCTGTAGTGTCTCTAGCCAAGCACAAGTCTGGTCACGCGAACTCCAGCTTGGAAGGTGAGATGGACCGACGGCGCCGAGTTTGATTGTCAGTCACTTCATTTCCCGCTGCCAAGTGTATTTTTTACATCACCAGCTTGGTGCTACACTCCAGCTGGCAGATTAAACAAGCCGCTATTAGGCAAGCTGTAACCATACATACGTGGTACGTGTTCCAGCCGATGTAACTTATTCAATGCTGTCTGTTGTTCTAAGGAACTAGCTTGCTTATCAATGCCTTGTACTCACCTACGCACATCCTCGTTGCGGACACGCTAATGCCACCTAACATCAGCAATGTTCCGTAGACAGCGAGGACCAATGACTTGAATGCGATTTAACTTCTCAAACGCAAGAGGCCATGACGTACCTCCATATAGTAGGACCCCTTGCCGAACAATCTCCTCGTGGTGTCAGCTGGGTGGTTAGGGATTTTCCCTTTCCAGCAGTTGGTTCGGCGGCAGTGTTCCAGGACGTGGTGGGTTTTCGCCTGGCATGCGTTCTCTCTAGAAAAAGCCACATATGTCCGTTTAACAAGACTGTGACGTGGTGGACGTGACTCGCCACCAAATAAAGTCACCGCCGTTTGCTTCGTCCTGACGAAGCATTGTATGCCAGTAAATTTATGCTATATATCTTGAGAGCATTGGACCCCTGTTTGACAAAGGAACAAACGAAAGGCGTATGAACTGAGCACTCAGTCACCAGCTCCCAATTGGCACGTTTCCCTGAATTCGCTCCACTGCCTTGCGGGCAGGCTATTCAGCCAAAGGCTGGGGGTGGTATCCTCTAAGTCAACAACCCTACTTCGGCTTGCGTAACCGGGTTGAATCTCGCTACCTGACAAAACCATGGACCTTGATGTTTTGTGTTATGTTTTCTTTTACTCTTTCTGTACCTTCTTTTGAGTCCCATGGTTTCTGATGGCATTATGTCTATTCGTAGACCGTTGAAATATATATATATATATATATATATGTACATATATATATATCTACAGAGAGAGAGAGGATAGGTCTCACTGTGGGCTTCTAAACAGCGCCTACAAGTGGAGGGGAAGTTTAGGTTATCGCCAAAGATGCCGCAACTTCAAGAAGACAGTTCTGACTTTTGCAATACATGAACTGACTTCAGATAATATGAGCTAATCTTTGCTGATGCACCTTGCAGTTCCTAATTATTTAGAGTCAACGGATTTTCGAGTAGCTGGTATTCCTGCAGCAAAACTTTGCACTTTGATGGTGCATCATGAGGCTCCCAAAAAGAACGTTCCAGCATATAGCCCAGGAGGAAATTGCACAGATATGTGGAAATCGGACAATCCTGACGAACACAAATTGTTGTGGGCAATCTATCCGACAAATCACGGTAGACCCTGACACAATCTGTCGTGTTCGCGTATAGGACACGCAGTGTTCATATATTTCGTGGGAACACCATTTCGCGCAAGTATTTCGAGCAGTTTGGATCGATCTAGTTAATCTAACAGACTCATGAAGTATAGTAACACATCAAATGTTGCTCTGTCATACATATGGCGCTGGACTTTCACCTGCCGTAGTACTAACGTGTTCTATACAGGCTCGGCCAGGGCAGAAAGCTGCCTGCTCTTTCCTAATCCGGGAGTCCCATATTGCAGCGAGGCGACGAACGGGAACTGAAGCGACTAGTTTTGGCGATAGGCTAATATCGGTTCAACTGTCCTTTTTGTACTTTGTCACTATAATCGTTTCACTCCATTTAGCCGGGAATCTCTCTTACTTCCAGACATATTCGCACAGGGAAGTCAGCCTTTTGCTTAGGATCTCACCTCAACTTAAATAGTGCAGGTGGGAGGAAGAATTCCCGGTCAGGGGCACGAAAACTCTTGAGAGCTGTGATCACGTTGCATACCTCAGCCTCTGATGGAGGTTCTAAACTAACTGGCCATGGTTCATCCCGCATCAACTGAGTAGAAAGAGGCCCGGAATCAGGGGGACAACTTAACCGATCTTGCAAGCTTTCCGTCCAACCAGCCATGTGGCATTCCACATTGTATGTCAGTGCCCCAGCGCAGTCTCTGCTTGCCTCATTGATGCCTGGTTTTCTTGGAACAGTAGTGCGTATCAGCTGGAAAAACTTGCGTTGTTTGCCTACCATTCCCGCCTAATAAATTGCTTGAACTCTACTAGTCCACCAAGCTTCCGTATAAGCTAGCAGGCTCCGTTTTGGTTTTCGTCTCATAAGTCGTCTGGTTACATTGCACTGGGAGCCAGGCGAGAGTTTCTTTCTGGAGTTCAATAAATTGACCGAACCCTCGAATATTCAGTAACTGGTGAGCTGACGAGTAACAGTACCTCAACCAGAACCGGAAGTGAACAGGCTACTTGTTGTTTCGGCATAGCTGTACGCCCCCGGCAGCCTCCTCACGTTACGGATCTGGGGACACCTTCCTTGAAAAGGCATCTGTGAATAATGCTTCGCTGTTAACATGTTATATGAATAAGCAGTCGTGTACAATCAGCTGCTGGGTTCTAAAGCTTGGAGTGTTTTAGGCAGGTCACTTGGTCCCTTATTAAATAATACAAGAGCTCACAAAACGCTGTGTCAGAGCCAATATGCCCAGTTATAGGGTAACTGATCGCTCACTTCTGCGACCAGAAGTGAGTTCACAACGGAGAGTTGGTGAATTATCTGGGTGCGGTGACGATTGATAGTGTCACAAGCAGATGCTCCTGCGTCGTGCATGACGGTCGAGATCTATTCCATTGAAGCTCAGTGTCATTAGGACAAGGGAGTGAAAATTCGGTACTCGGTGTATCCTGATAGGTTTGTCTGACTGAGGGGAGAGCAAATATCTTGGTTGCCTATTGGGAAGACGCTTGGTGCTCCTGGCAGCAGAGTTCAAAAATTTCAGCAGCTTAACAAGACATGATCAGAGTCGACGTCGGTATTTCAGAACGAGCAGCAATCCGGGATGGAAATACGCCACCTGTAAAGTATGGCAATGTTATCCATTTGGGCCCATCGCTGGTCAGCTACCGGATGACGCAAAGTGGCTGTTCGGCACCCACTGTATCTAGAAGCAGATTTGCCAAGAAACTACCAGTGTTTTACACAGGGTTACAACAGGAGCAAGGCGCTGTAAGTCCTCTCAAAGTTGGGCCCCTAAGTATCGCCTCGCCTTGCTTCTAAAGAAATTCGATGACCTACTTGTGTATTCCGTCTTCGAGCATCGCCGTCTGCGGTCCATTGCCCGTGTGTGGTGGCAGCACCACGTAAGCAATGTGGAAGTTGGGCAGCGTGCCTTGGGACGTGGAAGCAACTCGCTTGAGGAGCTCGTCTCACTGCATCAACTGCGGTGGTTGGGACACTTATTGCGCATGCCTGTCCAGCGTTACCCGCGTCGTGCTTTGTTTGCGGTTGCTGGACAGGGCTGGAAGAGACGGTCTGGTGGACAGCCTACAACATGGAGAAGCCGAATGAAAAAACTGACGAAACAGTTGGCCTCGGCCGGTTGTTGTCGACTACCTAGTTAGGGTCCTAGAGATGAGGATACTTGCTGGTTGAAGACCTTGGAAGCTATGGCTCAAGAGCGATGCTAATGGCAGACGTGTGTATCGGTGTGTTGCGGTGTCCCTTCTTCCTCCCCTAGAAAAGAACAAACTGAAAAAAAGTTTAAAAACTGTGAGTGGCAAAATAAACAAAAAATGGTTTTGTTGTTGCGCGTTTCTTATTATTCTGCCTGTTTTCCTATTCAGCCATGATTCCGATGGCACAATATCTGTACCACAGATTGTGTACAATATATATATATCCCTTGGAATTGCTAAGTTAGCTGAACTGGTAGCACTGGGTGGTTGTGTGTTCAGTTTGCGTTAGAACATGACCTTGGTAGCATCAGAACTGAAGTAGATGGGGGCATAAGCGGAAACCATAAAAGAACAGCACGTAGGGCTACTTCGTTTACCAACCTTAGTTGATGTCGTCAAACGGGTTACACCCAAACGGCTGTTCACGGGAATCTAAAAAATCAACTATGAATCATCCTTGGAGTTAAGAACCATACTTATCTTAGCTCGGGCCGCGAGTGTTGCATCTGCGTGTCCGGATGCCTGCAACCAACAGCGACAGGACAAGCCCGGCGCACTTAATTCAACAATTCCGTAAGGGGTATTGATCACAGTTTCTGATACATAACACAAGTAAATACCATGTGCGTCAAACGAGCCTACGAGTGCAGCCTGTTGCCCTATTTACCTTAGTGTGTTGAATGTGGAACTCCGCCCGGTAAACGGGTCAGTGTGACCTTATATGGGACTGTTGCCGGTAGGCGTCCAGTGGGTATTGCCTGAAGGTCGTGGCAGATAGTTCAAATCCAGTGCCACTGTGGCTTCTATCAATAAAGTTGGAGTTAGAGAGAGAAGTTTAGTAATGCGGGTTGGGATGACCGTAAGATAATAATGTAAATAATCTCAGCTGTGCGCCGTAAGGGCGCTTCGCTGCCGCGCGACGACCATCAGTCGCGCGCGGGCTGAGTATACCGCGAGGACGCCCACCCCTACGC